GTTTCCTAGTCCTAGGTATCTCGAATCTTTTTATCGCTTCGATCTTCCCTGGATTCGGTCTGATTCCTTGCTGGGTTACTACGTGTCCTAAATATTCGACTTCTGTCCTTAAAAATTCTGTTTTGTCTAGCTGCAACTTGAAATTTGCCTCCGCAAGCTTTTTGAAGACTTTTTCCAAGTCTGTTATGTGTTCTTGCAGGGATGTCGAGTACACCATAATGTCATCCATATATATAAGACAACACTTCCCCAGCAACTCTCCGAAGATATTGTTCATCAACCTTTGAAAGGTTGCTGGGGCGTTATTTAGCCCGAACGGCATTCTGACATACTCGAAGTGACCTCCTTCTGCCGAGAAAGCAGTTTTCGGGATGTCTTCTTCCTTCACCTCGATCTGGTGGTATCCACTCGCCAGATCTAAGGTTGAGAAATATTTAGCCCTGCCCAGACTATCTAGCACGTCATTAATCAATGGCAAAGGGTATCTGTCTTTAATTACCTTCTCATTAAGCTTCCTGTAATCCACTACCATTCGCCATTTCCTCTCCCCAGAGGCATCCTTCTTCTTGGGCACTAGCCAAACAGGCGCACTCCAAGGAGAGTGGCTATGCCTAATAATCTTTTGATCCAGTAGCTTTCCTAGTTGTCTTCTCACCTCCTGTCTTTCTTTGAATGCATACCTATACGGCCTGGCGTAAACTGGTATGTCATCCTTCGTTCTGATTTGGTGCTTGACCGCATTCGTGAACGACAAATGATCCCCTTCTTTATGGAATACCTTCGGATATTTTTTGCAAATGCGTTGAAGTTTCTTAAGCTCTTCGCTATTTAAGTGTTCTGTTCTGATCTTATCAAATGGTATCTTCGTGTTCCCATTATACATTTCTTCTATATTGTTGAGTTCGAAATGCTTGTCTATTTCGAATTCACAACCTTCTAACGGCTCCTCCAAAAATAGTTCCTGATCCGTTTCCGCGTAATTCGTTACCTCGACCAGGCTCTTTCCAGCCACTGCCCTATAGATTCCTTCTGATATAATTAAATCCTCCTTGACTATCGTTTTGTTTAATAGAAAATCCCCATCGGGTACTCGTACCGGTAAAGGAATAATTGTTCTTGTTCCTGCTTCTATTGAGTGGACCTCGCTGGGCCTATAGTTAGCGAAATGTATCTGCAATTCTGTGTCCACCGTTCGGAACCGACCTTTCTCAATATCGATCACGGCTTTCGCTTGTTGTAGTAAATCTATACCAATTAACCCTTCAAAGAATTGATGGAATTTGAAGAGTAATAATCTCATTTCTCCTATTCCTCCAAATTCTTCGAACATTGGTATGTATGCTTCTTTCGAAATCTTGTGGGATTGTGTAATTGTTTTAATGGCTATGGGGTCTTTCAACTCCTTTACATACTGCGCTTGAGCTAATTCGGGACGAATAAAAGAAAAAGTGGATCCTGTATCAATTAGTACTTTTATTGTTTTTTGTGGAGTGATTTTTATCATTACAAATGGTAGGGTGGAGTGGCCCCTCCTAGTTCCTAAATATCCTGTTGGCTGTTCGAGGCTGATTGCGAAAAATTTGCCTCGTCCTCTTGAATATTATGTAACTGACCACTTGTCGACGGTCGATTTCCGCCCCTCTCCGAGTTGTTAGTCGAATGATATGACCGTTTTGAATTGGCCGAGTTATTTGACTGCCTCGAATTGTTGGAATTGTATGACTGTCCAGAGAAGTTAGAATTCCGAGACATTCTGGTCTGGCCACTACCCTCTACGTCTCCAGCCGCTTGGATGGCTAGCTGGCCCTCTCTAGGCTTGCTGTTGTTATAGTTGTTGTTCCCATACCACTGTCTGCCCCGGTTATTCTGACCATAATTCCACTTATTATTCCTGTTCTGATAGCTTCGGTATGGTCTCTGATAGTTGGAGTTTTCTCCTTGATTGTCATTGTCTGTCCTGAATGGGTTACCCATCATTGGATACGGAAATCCAAATCCTGGCCAACCATTCATATTCGGTACCGGAAATGGCATTGGGAACTGCGGTTGGGCATTCGCTGCCCATCGGCATTGAGACCACATGCCAGTCTGGGACTCCGGCACCAGGTTGTTCTGTTTGTCAAGATCCTGTTTCGGGGCTTCTTTACCCTCTTTGGTCTGGGTTTTATTCAATGCCTGATCCTTCGTCTCTTCCTGAGTCTCTTGTAGGGTGCCCAAGTTCTTTTCTCTACAAGCAATCTCATATGCCTTATCTATATTGGGCACCTCCATGTTCCTGATAGTTCAAAGCTGAAATGAAGGCGTTTAAGGCCATTTCCTCATACCACTTGATCTTCTCGCTCCTCAACAAAATACCTTGCTCGTTGGATTTAGTTAAACTCACTAGGGCTTTCCTGAGGGTCATCACCTTCGTGTAAAGGGCTTCTAAATCCAATTTCTTTTCGTTAATATGCGTTAACTCCATAATCAACTCCTGCTCTGATCTCTTATCTTTGAAATGGGTAATCAATATTTTCTAAATTTGATCCCAATTTAATTCGGACTCGTCTAAGTCAAGGACTTTATCTGCTGGTCCTACAATCTTACTCCTTATCGCTCTAAGAGCGATTATTCCTATATTCGACCTTTCTTCTCCTTTTATGAGGCCCAGTACCTGTTCTACTGCTGCTATAAAACCATGTAACTTCCCTGGCTCTCCCTCATATTTGGGAATAATTCCTACCAGGTCTATTACTGTTCAAACATGAACACGCATATATACAAATGTATATTTAGGTAGCGGAATTGTAGCCGCACCAAATGTATCACATGTGTGCATACCTAAAACAACGAGATAAAAAGGTTGTAAAAGGACCCCCTGCGAGTGGTCACCACATGTTCAGGGATAAGTGCGATCGGAGTAATTGCTATCTCCTCTATCGTCCTTAAAGATAAGAATAGTTGTAAATCTCATGTTAGCTATTTAAGTAGAACATATTCTTAAATAAAATCAGTTTGAAATATCAACTCAACAAAGAAAGACGTATTTATTTGGACGTTCTTTCATTTTGGTCCTTCGAGCCGAAAAAATCTCTTGTTACCCCCCACCCGAGGTAAGGAACAGAGATATAACAAAAAAGCACCTTCTAGTAATAAATGACTAAAGGTAGCTTAAAAATTAACAGTGTCGTGTAAGGCGTGCTTGAGGCCCTTAAACATCAGCGATATTGTGCGGGAAATAAATGCAATTAGGCATTTAACGAAAAGTGAAAAAAAAAAAAAAACCAGCGACGCAGCACCTTCAGCTGCAACGACAGAGCGGTAACAGGACAAGCAGCGGCGACTTCAGCAGCAACAACAGCAACTAAAAATACCACTGCAACGACAGAGCGGCGACAGGACAAGCGGCGGCGACTTCAGCAGCAACAACAGCAACAAAAAATACCGCTGCAACGACAGAGCGGCGACAGGACAAGCGGCGGCGACCTTAGCAGCAACAGCAAAATGCGACTACTCTGGCGACGGCAACGGAAGCAGCTAAGTCACAATAAAATTTTTTTTTTTTTACATATACATATATCCCTAAGAAAATAATAATAATGATTTCGGAAAAAACGATAGATTTGCTAAAGAAGCAGTCCGGGATTATTTTGGAAATAAGACGTTTAGAAGCAAAAATAGGGCTAACAGAGCTAGACGTAGGACGATTAGAAGAGCTTAAAAAACTCTTTATTACTAACCATACTGCCCTTTTAAAGATCGGCGTTGTCGATCATGAGTATTTTAATACCAAGCAGTATGATATCATTATGATGGTGTTGGCTCAGATAAAGTTAAGGGTTGAAAAAGAGTCTCAGACAAATAAGCCAGAGGGACAGGTTATTCCCACGGCAAACGTTTCAAGGACCAAAAATAAGGAAATAGAGATTGAGTTGCCAGGCACTTCAAACGCGTCCAGGATAGAGCAGACATTTCGAAGTAAGGTAGGCATTTTGAAAGCATACTTAGATGAGACGTCTACTCTCATAGACAATAGTCCAGATTTCCTTACGATAAGGAAAAACAAAATTGAGTTTCTGTGGAGTAAGATACAGAACCTAATTAAACAGGGTAATACCTATTTCGAGAGTTCTGTGTTTGACGACATAATAAGCGATATCGAGTTTGATACGCAAAACATATTAACGGCCATTAAAAATCGATCCAGCGTAGTCAATAGGCATGCTGACGTGTCGATGGTGGTGAAGGCAGAGGAATTACCAACCCTGCCTAAAATACAGATTCCCACATTTTTTGGTGATTCCAAAGAGTGGGATCTGTTTTACGAACTTTTCACAGAGCTAATCCACTCAAGAGAGGATTTAAGTCCATCTCTTAAATTTAATTATTTAAAGTCAGCATTAAAAGGTGAAGCCAGGAGTGTTGTCACTCATTTATTGTTAGGCGGGGGCGAAAATTATGAAGCCACTTGGGAATTTTTAACCAAGCGTTTCGAGAATAAAAGAAAGATATTCTCGGAACACATGAATAGGCTTTTGGATATGCCCAATTTAAATTTAGAATCGGATAGGCAAATTAAAAAGTTCATTCACTCTATTAATGAGTCAATATATATTATGAAATTGAAGGCACAATTGTCCGAAGAAGTGGATGCCATTTTCGCCCACATAATCCTTCGGAAATGTTGAGGAACCTCACTACTAATTACAATAATCTGGTATATTTTATAGCATGTAAGATATTCTTTCTTAAGATGGTCTGGTCTGTCTTTGATCTCGCTCTCTTCCTCCTGACCACGAGCTGTCAACATGAAATAAAGCGTAAATTCTTATTGTGAAATAATTGAGTATTATTCTATCAACCAATTTGAAAATGGTCTTACAAACCATTTAGCGTGATCTATTCACCACCATTGTCTGGTCTTACAAATCATCAGCGTGATCTATTCACCATCATTGTCTGGTCCTTCGAGAGCCGGAATACTTCCGCATCTACAAACTGTTTGAGTATATCTACACACCATGGAGCAACAGACGCTTAAACGCCTTACCCAAGCACGTGGTCGGCTAAAGGCTACCATAACTCGCTTGGTCAATTACATTGAGAATCCACCTCCACAGAGCACTTACTCCGGAGTCGATGCCATGCTGGCACGGCTAAATCAAGCCTTCAGAAGCCTTGAGGAGATCACTGACGAAATGCACGTGTACGATAACGTTGAAGGTTTCGAGGATCCTACCGAAGATTTCCAATTGTATGAGGAGAAGTACCTGCGCGCGCTTACCTTATTCGCGTCGTTGAAGAGCGAACTTCAGCCAAGCGCCATACCTCAAGCGGATCACAACATGGCCACATTGCTGCAACAGCAAAGTGAGTTCTTGCAGCGACTTGCTGAGAACGGAGCATCTACCTTGGCCACGCCGCCGCCTGCTGCAGTTTGTTTAAATGAAAACCCGTTGCCGAAAATCCACATCAAACCCTTTGGTGGAGACTACAAGGAATGGCCAGCCTTCAAGGACATTTACGAGAGCACCGTCCACAATAAGACCCACCTGGGAAAGATTCAGAAGTTTCACTACCTTAAGTCTTTCATAGTTGGTGAAGCGGCCAATCTTCTCAGTCACATGTCCATTACGGAATCAGCTTATGATTCAGCATGGGAACGCCTCAATGATCGCTATGATCGCCCAAGACATATCGTGAACTCCTTACTGGACACTTTCATGGCACTGGCTGCTGCCCCCACCGGCGAGGTGTCTAATCTACGCAAACTTACTGATGGCGCCAATGAAATCATTCGTGGGCTAGATGCAGTTGGGGAGACAAGCCGTGATTGCTGGGTGATTCATCTTGTACTAGCTAAAATTGATCCCGACTCTAGAAGGAAGTGGATAGAGGACACCAGAGGCTCTGCGACACCAACCGTTGCAGACTTGTTTAGATTCCTTGATGACCGTTGCGAGGATTTTGAATTAAGCCAAGCTACATCGGCAATTAAACTCGATACTGGCAGCCACACGGACAAGGCTGCCAAAGCGAAGCGCGCACTTATTGCAGTGAACCGTGGCAATTGTAGTAAGTGTGGCTCTGCTGACCATCAGCTGTATAGATGCTCTCAATTTCAAAATCTGAACACCGAACATCGGCGCTCCTTTGTGAAAGGAAAGTCGCTTTGCTTCAATTGTCTACGCCCTGGCCACCGATCTGCACAATGTCAATCGAAACATTCGTGCAAGCACTGCAATGGCCGTCATCATTCTCTTGTACATCCTGAAAACATGGATTCCATGACAGTTCCTCCTGCGGACACTGTACAGGCCAGTCCTCAAACTTCTGGATGTAGCTCAACTTTGGTCGCCCAGACGCAAAACAGCACCTCATTAACACAGTCATCGGGACTCAAAAGAAGCACATTGCCCACAGCTTTGGTGTATGTCCAAAACTCAAAAGGGACTTACACAATTTGTCGTGTGCTTTTGGATAGCGGCTCTGAGCTATCCTACGTTTCTGAACGATGCATCAACGCACTTGGGCTCGCTCGTTCACCCTCAAGAATTCTAGTTTCCGGAATATCTTCCGTCAAGGCCAAAACTACTAGAGGATTGGCAACGCTGCATATCAAGTCAATGGTGTCACTTCATACGATTGTTGTCGCAGCCCATGTGCTGGGCAAAATCACATCATCACTTCAACGGGACGACATTGACGAAACAGCTTTAAGGATCTACGATGGACTCCAGTTAGCCGATACTTCGTTTAACACATCTTCACCTGTAGACATTTTACTGGGAAACGAACAAATTTGGTCCGTTTTGTCAGGTGATAAAAAATATGACACCGATGGAAATATTATTGCCATCAGCTCAATCTTTGGATGGATAATCACTTCAGTTGCAATGCCGCAACCATTAACCGCCAACACGCTCATGACTACTGTTGACATTAACGCCTCTCTTCAACGCTTTTGGGAGATCGAGGATAACACTGAGCATACACAACGAGACCCTGCGCACGAAAAGGTAGAGCAGCATTTTCTGACCACACATTCCCGAGACCCAGACGGCAAATACATCGTTGAATTGCCTTTTAAACACGAATGCCAAGAGTTCGGAGACACCCTGCACGGCGCTGTCTCACGCTTCTATGCTGTGGAACGTCGTCTGCAGCGTGATATGGAGCTACGCAAGCTATATTCAAAATTTATGAGCGAGTATTTAAGCCTAGGTCATATGCGTAAGCTGCCCCCTGAAGAATGCAACACATCAGCAAAAACGTTTTATATGCCACACCATCCAGTTCTAGGAAAGAAGCTGCGCGTGGTATTTGACGGGTCATATGAAGACGTAAACGGGCACGCTCTAAATGACGCCTTACACATCGGACCCAGCATACAACGCAACCTTTTTCATGTATGCCTTCGCTTTCGAATGCACAAGTTTGTGTTTTCGGCGGACATAGTTAAAATGTTTCGCCAGATCTGGGTTGCCCCTAAGCACCGCAACTTTCAACGCATCGTATGGAGAGAGGCTCCGAAAGATCCTCTTCAACACTTTCAACTCTGCACAGTCACCTATGGAACAAGCTGTGCACCGTTTCTTGCTGTCAGAGTACTGGAACAACTAGCGCGAGACCACCAGGATGAGTTTCCCACAGCCTCAAAAATTGTGCTTGAGGACTTTTACGTAGACGACGTCCTCACCGGCGCTGAAACTGAAGACGAATTACTTAGCCGCCGCGACGAACTCATCCAGCTGATGTCCAAGGCTAAGCTTGAGCTTGGCAAATGGGTGTCTAACAGCAGCGTCATCCGCCACACCCGGCAAGACGAGCTCCAAATAACCAGTGCGGTTAAAGTTTTAGGAATGCTATGGAATCCCCAAGACGACGTCCTGTCCTACAAACCTTCGCTTTCTACGGAGCCAGATGCTACTAAACGGCAAGTATTGTCAGATGTCTCACGAATTTTTGATCCTCTAGGTATTCTGGCGCCTGTGGTAGTACAGTTCAAGATCCTTTTCCAAGAACTCTGGCTGCTTGACCTGGACTGGGATTCAAAACTCCCACCGAAACTGGCTGAGTGGTGGCAAACCTGTCGCGACGATATCAACTACATAACCAACCTAAGGATTCCACGTTATGTACACAGCGAACCGGGAAAAATCGAATTACATGGATTTTCAGATGCATCTATAAAGGCATATGCCGCTGTTGTTTACAGCCGTGTAAGCAACGCAGACGGCACCTGCTTGGTGTCACTTATGGCAGCCAAAACACGCGTTGCGCCACTAAAGCAACAAAGTCTTCCTCGGCTGGAACTCTGTGGCGCGCTATTGCTCACTCGCCTTCTCCGAGCTGTTAAAGAAGGATTGCATCACAAGGATATAGTTGTGCATGCTTGGTGCGATTCCACGATTGTCCTTTCGTGGCTGTCGCACACCCCATCGAAGCTGAAGACCTTTATTGCGAACCGTACTTCGGAGATCCTAGATGTCATACCACGCAGCGCATGGCATCACGTTGGCTCAAAGGATAACCCTGCCGATTGCGCATCGAGGGGAATGCTAGCATCCAATCTCATGAACTATGAACTGTGGTGGAAGGGACCACATTGGCTACACCTCGACGATCTGCTTGCTTCAAAGCTGCGTAGTGGCAACAATCTCACAACAATTTTGGACACGCCCATAATGGATGGGCTGAAATCCTCTTCACTATCCAGCCGTGTTGAATCTGAACCTGAAGCGTCCCCGATTGAGTGTCTATCGTTTCGAGTTTCTTCCTGGACCAAGCTAATTCGCTGCACTGCTTATGTTTTACGGTTTATGCATCGAGGAATGAAGAAACGGATTCCGTCAAGCCTCACACTCACGTTTGAGGAAATCAGCGAGGCCCGCATTTATTGTCTAAGGCAGGCTCAAGGAAGCTTCTCATCCGATCTACACCTGTTGCAAAGGGGAAAAGCTGTGGCAAATTCATCAACACTTCGAACACTGTCACCCATGGTTTGCAAGAATGGCCTGCTTCGCGTAGGTGGGCGCCTCTCAAACTCGCTACTACCGGAGGAAGTCAAGCATCCAATTATTCTGCCGAAACATCATCGCATTTCTCTGCTTATTTTGGAACACGAGCACAGGATACATCTTCATCCAGGTGTGACAGCACTTTTCGTCATCGTTCGCCAACAATATTGGATAGTTGGCGCACGCAACATGATTCGTAAGCTTACACATGCTTGTCTCAAATGTTTTCGCCAACGCCACAAAACAACTGACCAATACATGGCGGACTTGCCAGCTGTTCGGGTACGTCAAGCATACCCATTTGAAAATACTGGGTGCGATTACGCCGGACCGCTTCTACTCAAGGTGCACAAGGGACGGAATCCACGAAAGGAAAAGGGATACATTTGTCTATTCGTCTGCCTAGTGACCTCTGCAATTCACTTAGAGTTGGCTACAGATCTCAGCACGGATACATTTCTTGCTGCACTTCGTCGTTTCATCTCCCGTCGCGGCAAGTGTACCCACATCTTCAGCGACAACGGTCGCAACTTTGTGGGAGCAAAGAAGGTGTTAGACGAAATGTATAAGCTCATCCTATCACTGCAGCATAACACTCAAGTAACCCAAGCGTTGGCCAGCGAGGGTATCAAATGGAGTTTTATACCACCGCACGCACCCCACTGGGGCGGAAAATGGGAATCAGCTGTTCGCTCCGTAAAGCTGCATCTGCGTCGTGTCATCGGGAATTCCATCCTCACATTTGAGCAAATGCACACCCTTCTGGCTCAAATTGAGTCCGTCGTCAATTCACGCCCACTCTTCGCTACGTCAGACATCGAGGTTTCCTACTTATCACCCGCACACCTGCTGATTGGACGCCCTTATACATCACTTCCAGAGGGCGATCTTGGCCACATAGCAGTTAACCGACTGGATTACTGGCAAAATGTACAGGCAATGCTACAAGGCTTTTGGAAGAGATGGCATCAGGAGTACCTCACTTCACTTCAACAGCGCCCTAAGTGGAATACGGAGAAGAATAACATTGCTACTGGGGATATGGCGATCATTAAGGATTCAAACACACCCCCCCGCCGCTTGGATTTTAGCGCGCATAATTGAAGTCTACCCAGGCAAGGACGGGCTGGTACGGGCCGTAAAGCTGCGAACTTCATCAGGAGAACTTGTTAGACCCATTTCTAAAATTGCCATCCTGCCTAATTCAGAAACTTAGTTTCAGGGTGGGCCGGGATGTTGAGGAACCTCACTACTAATTACAATAATCTGGTATATTTTATAGCATGTAAGATATTCTTTCTTAAGATGGTCTGGTCTGTCTTTGATCTCGCTCTCTTCCTCCTGACCACGAGCTGTCAACATGAAATAAAGCGTAAATTCTTATTGTGAAATAATTGAGTATTATTCTATCAACCAATTTGAAAATGGTCTTACAAACCATTTAGCGTGATCTATTCACCACCATTGTCTGGTCTTACAAATCATCAGCGTGATCTATTCACCATCAGGAAATTTAATAAAGAATCGTTAAATTTATATGAAAGTCATGTCAAAAAGACAAAAGAAATCCAAGCGCTTTCGGATGTGATGGAATTTTTAGAGCAAAGGCTCAATTCCATATCATCATTGTCACAGGGAGAGAAACCTGTAAAGAAAGTGGTAAATACAACGCAGAATAATAACAGCGAAAATTGTGCGTGTTGTAAATTACCGGGACATTATTTAGTCCAGTGCTTCAAATTTAAAAGAATGAACCCAGCAGAGAGAACTGACTGGGCAAGAAAAAATCAAATTTGTACAAAATGTCTAAAACATAAGAGTTTTAAGAGATGAACAAGCGAGCAGCTTTGCTTGACTTGCAACAAACCTCACCATACGTTACTTCATGTTAAAGTTCCAGAAAAAGTGAACACATGCAGGACAACGGAGAACGTATTATTAGCCACAGCCATAATTGAGGTCAAATCAAGAAATGGAGGCTATGAAAAATTAAGGGCTTTGATTGACAGTGGGTCTCAAAGTACTATAATTTCAGAGGAAGCTTCACAAATTCTCCAATTACCGAAAATTAAAAATTATACGGAGATTAGTGGAGTTTCCTCAGTAAAAACATGCAGTTCAAGGCACAAAGTTAGCTTGCAAATAAAAACAAATCAAGAGAATAAAAATAATTTGAAAGTAGATGCAATTATTCTTCCAAAATTAATGAAGGCACTACCAGTACAAGCGGTTAAGATTGACACGACAAAGTGGGACAAATACCGACTTGCTGATCCCGAATTTCATAAGCCAAGTAGAGTAGACCTAATAATAGGTGCGGATCTAAACGCGCACATTTTTAAAAGAGGAGTTAAGAAAATAGACGGACTCCTAGGTCAAAATACTGAGTTCGGGTGGATAGTGTCGGGCTGCACAAAGTCAAAAGGCAGTAACTCAATAGTGGCAACTGTGATCAAGTGTACGGATTTGGAAAGGTTACGGATACGAAATAAGAACTGCAAAGATAAATTTATTAGACGTAGAACTGACGAAATTTTAAAAGTAAAAGATACAGCATGGAATCATGTAAGATCTGAGGATAACCCAGCAGATATTGCCTCAAGAGGCATCTGTGCTACAAAATTAAAAGATTGTTCGCTGTGGTGGAATGGGCCCAAATGGCTCTCAACACCGGAGGACAACTGGCCCAAGTTACAAATAGATGATAAAGTAAGAGTAAATACGGTGATAGTAAAATCCGAAGACACCATTTCTAAGTTTCTGGATAAATATTCTAGTTTTCAAAAGTCGGAACGGGTCATAGCTTGGATATTACGATTTATCGCCATGAAAGTCAAGAAGATGTCATACCCACATTGGCTGACTGTAAATGAGGCCCGATTATTAATTATTAAAAAACAGCAGGAACGACATTTTATTGCAGAGATATTATGCTTACGAGCCGATAAGGAAATAGAGCAGAAAAGTAAGGTTATAGGGCTGAATCCGTTCTTAGACAAAGATGGTATTCTAAGGGTTGGTGGTAGGTTGCAAAATAGCAAGTTACGATTTGATGTGAAGCACCCGATAATATTAGATAAATGCCACGTGTCACGACTTTTAATTGAAAAGGCTCATAAGGAGACAATGCATGGTGGAATCAATTTAATGAGAAACCAAATCCAAAGGAAGTATTGGATATTTAGGTTAAGGGATTCTCTGAAGAAAGTATTGAGAGAGTGTGTCACTTGTGCGCGATATAGGCAATGTACAGGTAAACAAATAATGGGTAACCTGCCGAAGTGCAGAGTGAATGTAGCATACCCATTTTTAAATACAGGTATAGACTATGCAGGGCCGTATCACCTAAAATGTTCGAAAAATCGAGGTCAAAAAACTTTTAAAGGTTATATTTCAGTGTTTGTATGCATGGCAACTAAGGCAATTCATTTAGAAGTTGTGAGTGATTTAACTTCTGATGCATTTCTAGCAGCATTACAAAGATTTATAGCTAGAAGAGGAAAATGTGCCAATATATATTCGGATAATGGTACTAATTTTAAAGGAGCTGCACGAAAATTAGATGAAGAATTACTAAAAGCCATACAATATAATTCCAGAGTAGCTGCAGAAAAGGAAACCGAAAAAAAAATTCAGTGGCGTTTTATCCCGCCGGCAGGACCTCACTTTGGAGGTATTTGGGAAGCAGGTGTTAAGTCGGTTAAATATCATTTAAAAAGAGTCATTGGAGATAGTATATTGACATACGAAGAAATGTCAACCTTATGATGCCAAATCGAAGCAGTACTAAACTCTAGACCGCTATATACGACGGGAGAAGATGTCGATGATAATGAGGTGCTAACGCCCGGACATTTCTTAATAGGTCGACCTACGTTGGACATAGTGGAGTCAATAGATGATGATGAAAAGGTTCCTAGCCTGGATAGGTGGAGGTTAATTCGCAAAATGAGAAGAGATTTTTGGGTCAAATGGAAGGAGGATTATTTATATACGTTGCAGCAGAGGTATAAATGGAAAAAAGGTAGTCAAAATATAGAAAAGGGGCAGGTAGTGCTCTTAAAAGATGAAAATTGTCACCCAGCTAGATGGCCAATGGCAAAAGTAGAGGAAGTTCATAAAGGTAGAGACGACAAAGTTAGGGTTGTCAAAGTAAAAACCTCAGAAGCATCATTTACAAGACCGATTACCAAGATTTGTCCTTTAATTGGTGTACAGCAAGCAGAGGATGCAACTGCAACTCCGACCATAAAAAGAGTTTCCCCTAGGTTATCTAAGCTTAGTAGCATGGTATCAATCGGAATGTGAAGAGACACTGTCAACACCATACATAGGAGAGGTTATGAAGTTCCGAAAATAATGTGGGATCCGTTAAAGTTAACGCCATTAAATCATACAATTGAAATTGATAAATTAAAGGAAGAAATTAAAGAGCTTAAAGAAAACCATCCACAATTAAAGGATTTACATTTCCATCATATTTCCGGACATGCTGGTCTTATATTGTCATTAATAGTTTTGGGAATTTTTATAATATACCTTGTGAAAAAATGTTTTGTTAGGCAAAGATTACAAGCCATAACTTTCGCAGGCCCGTTGCAAGGAATTTAAAGTAAAATAGTTAAGTTAAAAAAAAAAATGTATTGAAAAATAATAAATTTACAGTCCACTAAACCGTTGTTTGCACAATTGTCAAAAATAATTGTAAAGCTTGCCGGGCCTTTGGCAGAATGTTCATCAGAACACGAAGTATTTTATTATTTAAGAAAAAATAAATCAAACCAATGTTAGAGTTAAGCTATAAGAGAATTACATGTCTAAGCTGAAAAATATATATGCACAAAAAGAGCAAGATTTGAGTTTAAAAAATAAAATTGAATAAATAATTACAGTCCACTAAATCGTTAAATCATAACTATTCATATATTAAAAATATATCATTCTTGCCGGCCTTTGGCAGTATGTTCAAACATGAACACGCATATATACAAATGTATATTTAGGTAGCGGAATTGTAGCCGCACCAAATGTATCACATGTGTGCATACCTAAAACAACGAGATAAAAAGGTTGTAAAATGACCTCCTGCGAGTGGTCACCACATGTTCAGGGATAAGTGCGATCGGAGTAATTGCTATCTCCTCTATCGCCCTTAAAGATAAGAATAGTTGTAAATTTCATGTTAGCTATTTAAGTAGAACATATTCTTAAATAAAATCAGTTTGAAATATCAACTCAACAAAGAAAGACGTATTTATTTGGACGTTCTTTCAATTACCTTGGTAGCTTCTAACACGCTTGTTGTTGCCATTGCTGCAGGCCTTCTTTCTTCTGTCATTATTTGTGGGTTCGGTCTCTTGGGCTTTATCTCTATTTTTTAGCTTGTTTCTGAGTGTATTTACTCTTATGTGTGTATTTCTTAATTAATAGTGTTTAAATGTTAACTATATTAATAGTGTTTAAATGTGTGTATGTGTGCTTGTGTACTTAAGTTATTGTTTTAATTGTATTCTTTATCTTCTCTTGTATTGTGTTGTGGTTCAGGGAGTTTCCGTGTGGTGTAATGGAGTTCTGGAATTAATTTAAAATGAGTACTTTTGCTAAATTGATTTCTTAAAATATCAACAATGGGTAAAAATTTCATTATTTATTTTGTTCTTGTTATCGTTCCCTGTCTCCTACCATCTAATCTCATTGCAACTTGCTGTATTTAATTTCGTTTATTTAGTTATTTTCTTTATATGTTTCTTTATTCATTATTCTTTATTTATTTCGCGTATTTTGTTTTGTTACCCGGCATGCTGAAGCTAGCCGATCGGCTGTGCGATACAGCATCACGACCAAATGCGGACAGACATTGCCATCAGGGTATTTGTTGTTTTGGCCGCCCCCCATGCTAAACGACTACCCTGTTTTCTACAGTGTATCGCTTAATACATGTGGATAGCCTCTTCTGTTGCTTGTCTACCAATGTACCTCCTCATCCACATGCTAAGCGGCCGCCTTGTGCATTACAGTGCGCCGCCCAATACATGTTAATGGGTGTACACAAAATTCTTCTTACTGTCTATCGAATCAATACCTTCCATTTGCTAGGCGGCCAC